CTGCCTTCTAAAGTAGCCCAAGCCAGAGCTGTGACTGAAGAAAACCACAGACGAACATGGCAGCATCAAAGAACATGGTCTGCAGCACTCGCTTGTATCAGTTTTATTATCTTCGCATGGCAAAATAAGAAATATGTTTTCCTTTAATTTAGTGAGATCTGATAATTTCTGTGATTAAAACAGGAGCACTGATTAAAATCAGGTCACTATTAATTTAACTTAAAGACAGGGTATAGGCAGTACCTTTTGATAAGCAATTTAAAAAAAGGAAAATATCGAAGATGATTCTTAGGGAAATACCAGTAAACAACTGACCTTTATGTACTATAAATGAAATTCAAGTTATTAATATCAAATTGTTAAAATAATTTATCTTTGTTATTATAAATGCTTTATAGTCAGAAAAATGATTAGGTTTAAATTTTTTTTCTTACTAACTGAAATAACTATTAGCAAACAAAAGAAAGAAAAAAAAAAGAAAAAACCCACATGAAAGCCTTATTGCAGATCAGCTAATCCACGTTACATATTTTGTCTGTAGAATGTATGTGTATTTTTTCTTATACTAGGCACGTTTATCTGAGGAGAAAACAAAGGCAGAGCAAATTTAGTCCTGGAGAAATGAAATGTCAAGAAATACTTGAAAAATAGTTAAGCAATATACACTAGATTATCTTATTGTTTATATTGTATTAACCTAATTTATTTCTATCTACCCCATTGTTTAATTACAGGTATAAACTAAGCACGATTCAAGAACTCTATAATGTCAGTGAACATTAACTACATTTAATGTTTTATATCTATAGATGGTGCAGAGTTCCAAATAGCAATTTGTGAATTAGACCTTGGACTACCAGCCTCAAAGGGGCATTTTTGAGTTTCTGTCAGCATTGTTTTCTTGTCACAGGTCCTGTTCATGCAGGACATTAAAGACATTAAAAGACACATCTTCACATACTTGAAAGCATAGGTACGTTTAAATATTTATGGAGAGGAATTTTTAAAATTTTCCTCTAAAAGACTGTGGGAATTTGCATGCTAAAGTACACATGCTGCAGGTACAAACTATTTTTAAAACTGGCTATTGAAATCACACTAGCACCCTAATATATATCATATTCACAAGAAAATGTTCTTTTTGTGTGCTTAGCCCGGAGTAAGTAAAGCAGCCCTCATCAGAGCTCCTGTCCCACAATGAACGTGCAGTGTCATATCCTGTGAGTAAAGGTGGACAAGGGCTGTACTCCAGATGTTGGGGGTTAAAAATATCCACTGAATAACTCTGTGTATCTGGAGAGACAGTAGTTAGTGGCTGAAAGGTGACATCTAAAGGCGACATCTTCATATTCTTAAATCTGTTCTTAAACATTCTTTGCATAAGTGACCAGTGCTACTGATTTTGCAAAATCAAATGGTTGGTTCGGTGATGGTTGATGTTCAATTACCTTTGCACAGAAAAGAACTGGAAAGATGCTTGCAGACACTTACTGTCTTACTTAATAAATGGTCTCTTAAAACACCTCTATGCTTAACTGTTGTATAAGGCTCCCTGCTCTGTCTTGGGCACAGTTGTCTCTGAGGTGGTATGTGTATGTATGGGGAAGAGGGTGCTTAAATCTTAGGTGCTTACCTGAGGAAGACAATGTCAGACTGTGCAGTACCTCTGACTGGTGCTATTTTACTCATGTCCAGCTCTGAGTTAGGTGTAAGGGTGTCTTTTCTCCTCTTCTCCAGTGCAAAGTTTATCAAATTGGTATAACCTACTGGTAACTCCTGTAGCACAGCGTGGAAGGGAAGCCAAGTGCACAGAGCCAGGTAAAGGTAGCTCATACTGTTGACAGATTTCAGTTGCTTTCTCCAAGGTAAGACTGGTGCCTGCCCACGTGAGCTTCTCCTCCACCTTGTTTTGACGCAAACAGTCAGTAACCATCGAACAGCCCAGCTTGGAAATGACCTCACATGATCACCTGGTCGAACCTCTCATGGGAAAGTGAGCCTACATGAGATTATCTAGTACCCTGTCCAGCTGCATCTTGAAAACCTCCAGTGAAGGGCACTCTACCATGTCCCTGAGGAGATTGTTCCAGTGATTGGTTGGTTCTGACTGTAAAAAACGTCTTCGCTATAATGAGATGAAACCTTTCCTGGTGCAACCTGTTGCCCTCTGTCTTCTCCGTGTGGCTCCTTGTGAAGAGAGAGCCTCTGTCTTCTTTGTAGCCCCACTGTAAGTAGTGGAAAACTGTGATGAGGTCAGAAAATTGCATGAGTTTAGCTCAGCCATTCAATGCTGCACTGGGAGGGAATGGGATAGAGGCATTCCCACCTTCAGAGATAGCTATGAGCAATGTGAGGAGTAATTGCCTCCCTGCTGTTGGGTACTACCTTCCCTCCATCTTCAGCAGGGATGATGGATGCACTGTATGCTAGTGCAGCTAATGAAGAACACACGTCCATCATGTACAGGCATGATGACATGAGCAGGTTTTGAGTGGGCAGGTGGTGAGCTGTGTTCGCATCCCGTAGGTTGCATGGGATCGTAGCTTCCCTCAGGAGTGCCACCTATTGCTGGTACGTGCTACAGCTGCATTGGCTAAGTGCAGAAATCCACAGTGCAATGAGAAATGTGCAGTGGGTGTTATCCACGCAGCAGTGACCATCTGTGCTGGCGAAGTGGGCCTCATCACTCCTCCCAGTGACAGGAGAAGACCGTGTGCCACCTCACCTGCACCGCGTGCCAGGATTTAATAGGTACGCCCAGTAGTCCTGCTGCTGCCCCTCCCTCCTCCAGGAACCAGCTGCAAGTTCTGAAGTTGTTCTTGTGTACGTGTTGTCTTGTATGTGCGTGCTTTTACAAAGAGTAGTTACTGGGAGTTAGCTCGGTTGTATGCTGTACACGTTACAGGCTCTTCGGAGGCAGAGCAGATGCCCTATGCAGACGAAGGAGCTTGTTACAGTTTGTTCATGTGTTGTCCCTTTTTGTGTTGGGTCTGTGAAGGACAGCATTTTGAGGACTGCTGAAGGAAGTTTTCACTGTAAAGAGGCCTGGCCATGCCTTTTAGATGATTAAAACTCATTTTAAATGCAGGACCTGCTTTTAGCACAGACCTTTCCTCATCCCTTCTGCAGGTCTTTGGGACTGCTTGAGCCACCCAAACGCAGTGTGGTCCCACTGCTGAACTGTTTCTCTTCTGAAGGCTTTTGCTACTCACTGGGAAATCTTTGAAATAGAAGGGTTTCCACTGAACACTCTTTTTTTTTTAACACAAAGTTTCAAGGAAATTATCCTTAGTCCAAAAATTGGCTTTTATATTTTTGTTGATCCCCCAAATTTAATATTAATTACCTGGTTATCTCACATGTAAAGAATAATTCTCTAAGTGATGAAATTCTTGAAATCATCCAAAAATCTTTTTCTCTTCAGATAATGCATGGACAGACAAAGAAGTTAAAAGGCATGTGTGATCATTATTTGATAATACTTACTGTGCTTAGTGGTAAATCACACCAAGAGAGCAATTAACAGGTAATAGACCCAAAAAGAAGAAAAACCAAATTGCATCATCTGAAATCAAGGTAACAACATCTGGAGTACTTTCCCAGAACTACAGACACAGTCACCTCCTTTGGTTGTTCCAGACATTCTCATTAGACGGAAGATGCAACCTTATAGCT